GAGCCGAGAAAGGCAAGCCTCTTAAGTGAGGAGACTGATGTAAAGGGAACACATAGTCCAGCGGTGTCTGCAGAGGGCACGCTGAATCCTGGGGAGGGGACAGGGGCCAGGTGGACAGGAGGTGAATGTGCTGAGCGCTCCCATCTATATGGCCACTTTGAGGAGGCGCTTGATGTCGGGCTCAATGTTGATGGTGGGGAAGGTGCGGCTGTAGCGGCGGAAGGGCTCCCCCTCCGGCCCTATGAGGAACTTCTCGAAGTTCCAGGCCACATCTGAGCGGCGCACTGGGCTCCAAATGATGAACTTGGGATCGGTCATGAGGGAAAGCGGGTCGTCGTAAGGGTAGGGGAGCTTGTCCTTCAGGTAGGCGAAGACTGGGTGCTCATTCTGCCCATTCACCTCACACTTTTGGACAAGGGTAAAGGTGGGCTGGAATCCACCCCCAGGGCGGACGTACTGGAGGCTGTTCAGGATCTCTTCATTCTGACAGTTCTCCTGGGGAGGAAAAAGACAAAGGCGTGGAAAGGGGAGGGAATGCAGGATCCACAGTCTGCAAGTCCCTCGCCCTCCACGCTCCCTTCCCAGTACCCTGCATTGCTTTGTGTGTCTGTCTTTTTTCCCATGTGCTTTGCAGCTTTCTCTCTTGCAGCTATTGTTTGCTAAGGCCATTTCTGAAAGTCCTTGCAATTCTTAGCTTAGCTGTTCTTAAAGGTTTAGCACTTTTGATGTGTTGCTTCACGTCCAGTCTACCCTGAGCAGTTCTTATGCTGTTTTGTTTAAAACTTCAGGAATCTTGAGCTCAGGGCAGAAGAAAGAAAAGGAGAGGAGGCAGGGCACTCTACCCAGGGTGACAGCTTAAGACTGTCTCAAAAAAAAAAAAAAAAAAGTTGTGAATATGTAATATCATTCCTTTCCCTCTAGGGAAAAGGACTCTTATACTTCAGAGCCATTCTGTATCCAAAAACTCCTATAACTTATAGCCATTCACTGTACCCAGCTGAATGCTTTAGTTCAGAACCTGTTCCCTGGTTTTCCTACCCCAATGCTATCCACCTTCAGCATTCCATACCCCCAAAACTCTAAAGGCTTGTGAACGTACTGCCTAGTTTGAATCAGATAGCTCCCTCTGGGAGAAACTTCCTGCCTCTAACCAGTAGAACCAAGTAGCACAGTCATTCCCAGGCTAACATGCCATCTTGAGCCCAAAGATAATGTTATCAGACTTCCTATCTCTCTTATATTTTCTTAAGACAGAGTCTCACTGTGTCGCCCTAGGTAGACTGCTGTGGCGTCACAGCTCACAGCAACCTTAGACTGTTGGGCTTAAGCGATTCTCTTGCCTCAGCCTCCCAGGTAGCTAGGACTACAGGTGCCCGCCACAACACCTGGCTATTTTTTTGTTGTTATAGTTGTCATTATTGTTTAGCAGGCCCGGGCTGGGTTCGAACCTACTAGTCCTGGTGTA